TGGTCAGCAATCTATACATAAGCTAAGCAAGTTTTAGGGGAAAAACATTCTATTTCCTCATTTCCCTAGTTCTCTTCTGGCCCTTTGTTGTTATTTGCAGGTAAACAATCTCTGCCCCTCCCCCCCTGCAAAAGGGGTGAATACAAGTGGTGCTCTGAGTGACATGTCTGACTACTGGGATACTCAGCAGCATGCTGTATGTATAAGCCTTAGCCCTGAGTCTGTGCTTCTAATGGTAGAAGGGGTTAATCTTTTCTGAAGAATCCAGTGGGTGGGATACCAAATACCCTTGTTTTCTGTGTCTTTGGGACAGTCGAGACCGACAAAATCACTGACCAAGAAGAGTTGGCAGCCGAGGGTGCTAACAGTTGGTGAAAAAACTCCGAGAAACTTTGGTACCTTCCCATAAAGTTCTTCTACCACCTCTCCACATAAAATTGGGATTGATGAAGCAATGCGTAAAATCACTTCCAAGAGATGGAGAATGCTTCAAATACTTGGTCACCAAGTTTCTAGGCCTGTCGAGGCAAAATTGAAGGAAGGTGTGTTTGTCGGACCAGACATTAGAAGGCTTATAGTTGATCAAGAGTTTGTCAATACTATGACGGATCCTCAAAAAGAAGGTTGGATTGCATTTAAAGAAGTCGTACAGAAATTTTTAGGCAATAACAAAGATCCTCCCTACAAAAAGATCGTCGGACGAATGCTGAAAGCATTTCAAGCTTTAGGTTGCCTGATGAGTTTGAAAGTGCATTTCCTCCAGTCCCACCTTGACTACTTTCCTGAAAATTTGGGAGCTGTGTGTGAGGAACAAGGTAAACGATTCCACCAAGACATTAAAGAGATGGAAAGGAGATACCAGGGAAAATGGAGCATTACAATGATGGCAGACTACTGTTGGATGCTTCAGAGAGACATTCCAGATGCTACTCACAAGCGTAAATGCACCAAGAGGAGCCTCACAGGGAAGAAGAATCGAGTTTAGTGTGTGTAGGTGAGCTCATTTCAGTTCAAAAAAGGATTTTCATGAAAAAATTGTAATAAAACTTTAATTTTATAAGTCTATTTCCATTTATTTTGAGGTATTGCCTTATTTAACATAGTTACCTAAATTGTCAGGAAACATGATGTCCTATGACAAAATGGAGGTCATTTTCGGATTCAGCGCATCAAAAAACATAAAGATTACGTGGAATAACCAAAACAGCTCTTGAAAAAAATTATTTTGCAGACCTGTGTTATGAATTGACACAATGTAGTCACCAGAATCTCAGCTGACAAAGCATGATTTGAGTCCCAATGTAATATTATTTGGTGACATTCTAATTAAATCATTAACATATTTAAAAATGTAAATATTGGTCACATATCAGAAGATAAGAAAAACATTTGAGATTTGCTAGAGTGGAGATAACAATATTACAGGATGGAGCCCGACTTTCATAAGCTCTACAATGTACACGGCTTCCATTCCCGAACATTCCTTGACACGTACTGTTCTAATAAACCGGAAAGGACCTTAACTTATGAGTGTCTGACAAATCCTATGGAGAAGTTTCACTATGCATTTTCCACAGGTAGGTAAAATTTAATTTTGAATTAATAAATTATTTTTTAAAGACTGCTAAAAAGTTCAGGATGTACTGTACTGTATATATTTGGAAAAATGCAGCATGAACTATTGATTTGCACAATGATCTTTTTCAAGTAAAGAATGAACAGAGGATGAACAAATCATTTATTTAGACAAACCAGGTACAGACAAAGCAGAATTGCTGTTGATTCACATTTTAGGAAAACCCATGGATATTTTACCTTGCTATTGGAGCACAAGATTATGCATAATGAGGCTGTTTTCAAATGTTTTAAAAGGCCAATAAACCCAGCCACTTACATTTGTTGGAAACACCAACAATTTGATCACCCTGCATAAACTCCCAGCATAGTTACAGTATGTCCTCCTGGAAGTATTGGCTGTTCCTGACCACTTTTGTATGTTTAAGGTCCTCTTATTACATTTTACATAACATAAAACAATTTATACTTTAAATCCAGCATGGAGTATGGGAGATCTTCATAATGGACACACTACAGTTGCAAGAAAAAGTATGTGAACCCCTTGGGATTACGTGGAGTTTTGCATGAATTGGGCATAAAATGTGCTGTGCTCTGAACGTCATCTAAGTCACAACAATAGAAGAACACAGTCAGCTGAACATAATACTACACAAACATTAGATGTTGCCATGGTTTAATTGCACATAACATGTAAACATTCACAGTGCAGGGAGGAAAAAGTATGTGAGGCCCTAGCTTAATGACTTCTCCCAGAGCTAATTGGAGCCAGGAGTGAGCCAACCTTGACTCCAATCAGTGTGATGATATTGGATGTGTTGCTGACAGCTGTCCTGCCCTTAAAAAACACACACCTGTTTTGGGTTTACTGGTTTCAAGAAGCACTGTCTGATGTGAACCATGCCTCGCAGAAAAGAGCTCTCAGAAGACCTACGATCAAGAACTGTTGACTTGCATGAAGCTGGAAAGGGTTACAAAAGTATCTCCAAAAGCCTTGATGTTCATGTGCCCACGGTAAGACAGACTGTCTACAAATGGAGAACTGTAGGTGTGCATACCTGGAAATTCAGTGCAGGATGTGGGAGCCCCTCATTATGGGCACAGAAGGAGTACAGAGTCATGACCTTAGCATTATGAAAAAAAAAAAAAGAAACTGGCAGGTGGTTTAACTTTTGAGCACCTAAAAAAAAAAAGAACAATCACCTCCAGGCAAACTCAGGCATTTTGCCACCTTTCAGGGGCTAAAGATTGCTTTTAACTGGATTTTTCTACACTCACCCACTATGTGAACACTATGTGCATGCCAGCATCCAGGAAAAAGCACCGACGAGGGGCCCAGAAATCTCTTACCTATTACCTCCTGAGAAACAGAGCTCTTGAGCTTTGCTCAAGATGGCACTGGCTCACAGTCTTCTTCAGCCACATCACTCTTTTCTCCTGTGCAGCAGCCTACTTCTTTTGAGGATCTGCAGTGAGTACGTTCCTCTTATTAAAGAAGATCTAGACAGCAGCTTGAAGACTATGTACACTAAACTGGAGTCTAAAATTTTAATCTGAGTTATACAAAACTGCCAGCAGCCTGACACAGGAGATAGCTGCACTATGCTTATGCAGTGACATTATGGAAACTAAGCGTGATGAACTTTCTATCGCCAATTACAGTGAGCTTAACAGATGAACATGAAGCTTTGGCTGCTGCTTTCACACAGCTGAAATCCCAGGCTGAGGACTTAGATAACAGAAATTGGAGGAACAACCTAAACATCTGTCCATGAGAAGCCAATTGTTCCAGACTTTTGGTCCCTGTGAAGGCACATTGCAAAACTGTCGTTTATTCCTACATCTGGGCTTCACTGATTCCGTAAAATACCCTATCTTGTTCTTGATTGTTGACTTTGACACACCATACACTTACCTCCTGGAGAGTTTCTTGATGGGGAGTTCCACAATCTGTTCTGAGGTATCTACTTATGTCATGAGGCTTTTTAAATCTTTACTGTCTGAAAATGATACACCGTCCTTTATTTGTGACCAGATCCCTAGACCCTGATGAGCAAAACCACCCCCAGATAACCCACCCAGAGATTGTTCTGTGTATGAGGGACTTCCTTACCAAAGAAGAGATCCTTAGAGCTTCTAGGAATTCACAAAATATCATGCAAGATGGGGTCTCTCTTCAAAATTTCCCTGACATCTCTCCTCCTGCACTTGGGAGATGTAGAAATATGAAAAAGATTACCTCTGCCTTAGCAGCAGACAGAATTAGATACTACTGGGGGTTTCCCTTCAAGCTTATTGTTCTGCATAATGGCTCCACCTATATTGATTCCAATGTTATGCAAGATATCCTGGAGAAACTAGGATTCTTGAATCCAGAAGCTCTTTCCAGACCCCTGTCCACTCCTCAAAAACCTTCACCTATTTGAAATACACCCTCTAGGATTCTTGAATCCAGAAGCTCTTTCCAGACCCCTGTCCACTCCTAAACCTTCACCTATTTGAAATACACCCTCTCCAACCCCGAAATCTCAAGAGGGTTTGCTATGAGGTGGGCAGGGCAGAACCTGCTTGATTTGCTGATATTCAACTGGTGATCAGTTTTCTGGCTCTTGGTCTCAAGACTCTTGGTCTTGGCATCCAACATTTAAAAAATTGTCACTCTTTCAGAATTTTTTTCTAGGCCTCCTCAGTCACATGCCTACTAGGTGGCCCATTATCTTATAAAACTGAATACCATGGTTCCTGTTCATGCACAGCCTTATATAATACTGACATAGGATGGCTATGTCCTCCAATGCCAACATTATACTCCCTCACTCAGTTGTTTTTGTACAAGGTGATCAGTGGAGCGTGACAACAATGATTTTTTGTTCTTTTTATTTTTTTTTGGTCAAATTGTATCTTATGCTATGGTTTTTCTTTAATCCATACCATTTGTTAATCTGCTCCCTTTTTACCAGACTGAGTTTGGGACTCTGCAGTCCCTTTTACATACTCAGTTGCCTGGTACTCTGTTCGGGGCTGAATTACTATTCAAGCTCTTTAAGGGCGCCTGTTAACTTGTTTTAAAATTTTGGTTATGATTTTGTTATCTGTTTTATTTTTGGTAATCTTATTAATACGTGAGGACCTGTTTGATGTCAACAATGTAGCCTGTGAATCCAGGTAGAGAGAGCAGCTTTGCTGCAGATGAGCACAGCACTGGATGGAGAGAGGTCTCAGGTGAGTATTTAGGGGTGGAAAGGGGATAGACAAGTAGTGTGGAGTTGTTTACCTTAATGTATAGAATGCATTAAGGTAAAACACCTCTTGACTTTAGAACCACTTTAATGTACAGTTAGGCAGCAGAGTGTGTCATGCATGCCGGAATTGCACATATTCTGATGGAACATAGTTGTGCTGTAACTGTCTTGAATTCAAATTGCATGTGTGTGGAGACTATAACACAGCTCTCCTTGAAGGTTTTTTTTTTTTTTTTTTTTTTTTTTGCTGCAGGTGACTTTAAAGGAGATGTGTTGATTGACATCAGCATTGGTCCCATCATTCACCATCTCTATTCGGCCCAGGGATGTTTCAAAGATATCATCCTTCTCAAGCCTACTGACCACTGTATTGTAGAAGTGAAAAAATGGACGGGTAAACGAACCGGAGCATTTGATTGGTCACATACCTATACGGTTGGTACAGAGATGGCAGAAAACAGGTAAAGTATCTGCCAGCTTTTTGTCAGTTAGGTTGAATGCCTGGCATAATGTTTCAACAGTGTTGGAAGGAGGACCAGGTATCATTTTTTGAATGTTTTTGTATTTTGTTTCTTAAAACCTGAAATTTTAGTTCGTATTTCAGATAGCCCTGAAAATATATTTCTGGGCTATCTGAAATAATTCCCAAAACTCAGGACTCTCCTATTTATTCTGGTCCATGTGGGTAGCTCAAACCCCAGGACCACTTAGTCTGCATCTCTACAAGTCCAGCTGGACTACTCTCATCCAAAACCAGGGATAAAATATCACCATACTTAAAGCAGAGTTCCAGTTGAATAAAAATAAATAAATAAAAGTCAGCAGCTACAAAAACTGTAGCTGATGGCTTTTAAAATACAGACACTTACCTGTCCCTCGGTCCAGTTGTTTCCTCAATATGGCTGGTTTCACCAGCCATCTTCTCTCCTCGGCGCTAGCATCTTCAGTGTGGACTTGCAGCTTCACAGCTGAGTGCCCAATTCACATGCGCGAGTAGCACTGCTGTTTGTAAATGGTCTCGTAGTGTTCTGGGACCTGTCACGTGTCCCAGAAGACTACAGGAAGGGGGGGGGGACAACTTCCGTTTCCAATCACCTTAGGCGATTGCATCAAAAGTGGGAGCGGGTACCTGTCACATTCGGGTACCAGCTCCCCAAAAGGTGCCTATTCTTAATGGGGAGCGGGGGACAAAGTCTTAAAGCGGAACTTCCCCTTTTGGGTGGAGCTCTGCTTTAAGGCAATCACAGTGGGCGCAAACATAGTGTCCCATGCCCTTTCCCTACAGAATATTTGGAGCCTCCAGCTTGGCAAAGATCAGAGTAGTCTATACCACCTTCTTTGTCTCACCGATTCTTTTATTTGGTAAAAGTTCCCAATAACAGCAGTGTGTAATAACAGTAATGTGCAGACCAGAAGGCAGTTAAACATTATGCTATTTACATAGAGAGATATTGATGCTTGTGCTGCAAGGTTGTCTTACTTTATAGCAATGCAAACAGAGGTGTAGCACCCTCCTAGTTTGATAGTTGTTAGGTAAATTTAGTTAGCGCCTCTGTAGACAGCAGAAAAGGGTTTAAATGTGTTAGGAGCTGTTCAGTGTCTTACGGGCTGCTGGCCTGTTGCTTCCCCCATCTTCTGGAGTGTTCAAGAACATAGTGGGAGGTAGAGCAGGGCTAGCAGCCTGACTATTTATGGATCTCCAGCCTATTTCTGAAGATGCATACTCAGTAGGGGGAGGGAAACGCATAAATACTCTGAGACCTGGTAGCGTGGAGAGCAGAGTCCATGGTCCATCCCTCTGGAGGTGACCTGTATGCTAGGGGCTCTGCCCTTGGGGCAGAGAGGAAAAAAAAGGAGAAGATGCCTTGGGAGTTGTTGCAACCACAAAGTCCCAGCTAGGTTTACCTGGGGACCCTACTAGAGAGAGAGACAGCCTGGGACTTTGTGGAGTCAAGAGCCAGAAGTTCTGGAGAGTGGAAGCTCCATCTTTGAGACTGGGGATGGACCATGTTTTGGGAGTGAGTACTTAATCCAGCCATACTTACAAAAGAAGTGACTGTGGAATACAATACCTCACAATTCAGGTGCAGCCGGAAGCAGTGCCGGACAACCAATGGCACACCATTTGTCAGTGACTGAACTTAGTGCAGCCAGGTGCAGTGCAAGACAAGCATGCTTTGTGCTACTTCTACTGCTGCTACTACTAACTACTACTTCTACTACTACTCCCACTACTAGTAGAATTACAGGACGACTTTGCAGCCTATGACTGTGCGAGACAGCTTGCAACCTGTACAGTGCAGCCAGGAGCTTATCTGTCCTCTATTTTGTATAAAATTCTGCGGTTTTCTACAGTTTGGGGTATCCCATGTTCCCAACCTGATCCAAGTTCATTGGTCCCTCATAAAAACCCCTAGACTTCACTGAGCCTGAGGAAGAGTGTGGAAAATAACGTGTGCCAGGCTGTTGGTGCTGTAAAGGGGAAATAGGCCCAATCACCAGTGGGTCTATTGGGAGTAGTGCTACAGAGGTGAAGCACAATTTTCTTCCACAGTGTAAACAGCATAGAATTGTTTATGCAAGCATAGTTATCAGAAGAAGAGCCTTAGTACCAACATCTTGCATCATACAGAGTCCAGTGTCTCTGGCAAATCACAAGAGCCTTCCTTTTTTACTCCCCATCTCTTTTGGGAAGGGGCTGGTGGTACAAAAGGTAATAATTGTGGGAGATGGACTGGTAGAAGGAATAAAAGTTTCCATTATTAGCTGAAGGCAGGATAGTCTTCCTGAAAGAGTTTTTCAGAGATCGTGAAAAAATGGGCAGAGTAGGCGATAGTCTGATTGGGGTAAAGAGTTCCAGAGGATGGGGGAGGCTCTGGAGAAGTCCTGTAGATGAGAATGGGAGAAGGAGACAAGGGAGCTAGAGAGTAAGAGGTCGTGGGAGGAGCGGAAAGGGCGGTTTGGGTGATATTGGAGACAAGATTGCTGTTCATAGTGGTACTGTTCTCTTCAACCCAGAGAAGAGATCCTCACACACTTACAGCCCACTCCATTTCACCAACCAACCCTAAGCAATTCCCACTGGGACCTTAAATACTACTTAGGAAACCCAAGTTATGGGCATACTAGACTCCCTGACAAAATACAGAGGTGGCCTCCCATAGTAAGGGATGTGCATCCAGTTAAAACAGGACAGGAGAGCAGATGAGGAAAGGAGCGTAAAGGAGAGGAGAAGAAAAGGAAAAGAGAGAGCATGAAGATAGAGATATAGATAGTGATCGGAATTAGTGACTCAAATGAAGATTGATTGTAAAGGTACATTTTTTTAAAAATAATATACATGTCATACCTACCTGCTTTGTGCAGTAGTTTAGCACAGGGCAGTCTTGATCCTCCTCTTCAGGATCCCCCACCTGCCCCATGGCACTCTTAGTTCCTTCTCCCTTCCAAGTGCCCCCATAGCAAGCCACTTGCTATGGTGATACTTGTCTGGGCTCAATCCCGAGCCAGAATGTGTGCATCTATTGACACATATAGCACGGCTCAGCCCTCCCTGCACTCTACTCACCGGATTTGATTTACAGCAGTAGGAGCCAATGGCTCCCACTGCTGCCTCCATGTCCAGTGAGGAGAGCAGCTTTAGTGCTGGATCGAGATCAGGCTCAAGTAAGAATTTAGAGGGGGCTGGGAGAAGAACTGATCACAGAAGGATTCTTATGTTAAGCTGCGGAAGGTTTTACCCTCTTCATGACCAGACCATTTTTTGCTATTCGGTACTGCACTAGTTTAACTGGCAATTGCTCAGTCATGCAACACACTATGCAAATGAAATTTATGTCATTTTTTCCACACAAATAGAGCTTTCCTTTGGTTGTATGTTATCACCGCTGGGTTTTTTTTTTATTATAGAAATGAAAAAAGACTGAAAAAATTAATAACCCCCCCGATATTTTCTACTTTCTGTTATAAAACATATCAGAAAGAATTTCTTCATAAACTTAGGCCAAAATGTATTCTGCTACATGTCTTTGATAAAAAAAATTCCAATAAGTGTATATTAATTGGTTTGTGTTATAGTTATAGCGGCTACAAACTATGATATATACAATATATTTGAAAATTGATTAATTCTGATGAATTGATGGCTGATTTCATTTCTTGAGGCCCTTAAAATGCCAGGACAGTACAAATACCCTCTGGATGACCTTTGTTTGGAAAGTAGACAGTCCTAGGTATTTAGTAAGGCATGGAGATTTTTTTGAAGTTGTAATATTCTGTCATAAATTTTCTGAAAATGAAGAAATGAAATAAAATACTGTCACCAGCACAATACAGCTTCATCATATGATGATTGGTAAGGCGGTGATCAGGAACACTGACTAGTGACAGTATTTTAAAAAAAAAACTAACAAAAAAATGTAGACTAATTTTTTAAAACATTTTTCTTTTTTTAAACTTTTTTGACATTTATTTGCTGTTACAATGATGATCACTGTCACAGCAATGCTTTGCACTGTCATGAATGGGTTACATTCATGACAGCTGTGATTACTAGTGATCTGTGATTGGCTGTGCTGTGACTGGCCCAGGTACCATGTGATAGCTGTGGGGCGCAGCTGTTATGAATTAATTTGTTCATAACAGTTTTGTTGACATTATGATCAAGTGATTACATAGAGATCACATGATCTCCTGGCCGCTGAATGCAGCCGGGTACTGGTATCCATAATCCAATGTGTCCTATGGACAGAGCGGTCACGAAAGCGGCATGCTGCGTGCCCGAGGTGGTGCACCAATGCGTCCATGCTAAGCAACGTACAGATACATCCCTTAGCCTGTAGCTGCTGCCCACCTGCAGTACATATACTGCAACTAGTTAATTTAGAGAATGCATTAAAGTGAAAAACCTTCTGCCTTTACAACCACTTTCAATGAGTTTGATTTATTTATATGTTTATTTATTTCAATCTTCAATTATTCTAGTTTTAAAAAAAAAAAATCCAAATGCCCAACATAGCAACATTCCATTCTTCCTTTCTCCAGTTTTATGTATTCTCGCTATGAATAGCCATCTACAGCTTAGAAATGTTAGCAGCATTTCACCTGCTCAGACCTAATATACTCAATGCCCCACAGAATATCTGAATCTTTTATGTGACATGAGATGTGCTTCTCCCTTTCAGTGTGCATGGTGAGGACAAAGAAATTGGACTCAGGGAGGCCATTACCCATGTTGTAAAATTTGATCTTGACCAGGAAAATCTCACCGGCCCAGTGGTGCTTCCACAAGCTGACTGCCTTGTGCTGCTCACCTCTATTCTGGAAACCATCAGCAAAGACCTTGAAGATTTTGTGAGAAACTTCAGGAAATTCTCAAAGCTTCTAAAACCTGGCGGACACTTGTTGTATTATGGATTTTTAAATGGCACTTTCTATATGGTTGGCGGAGACAAGTTCCATGTTGTCAAGTATAATGAAAGCAACTTGAGAAGTATACTCAGTAATGAGGGGTTTATCATCAGCCATTTGGAGGTTTCCCAAAGAATGGCGGAGAGTGATCTATGTGATTTTGACTCAACTGTGTTCTGCATAGCTTGTAAAGAATAGACACATTAGGCTGTGTTCACACCACTGTGTTGAAGAATATGTTCAGCTTTGTAAAAAAAAAAAAAAAAAAAATACAATTTTTTTTGCAGGTAAAAAATGCATTTATTATTTTTTTTTACTAGGAGCCTGCAAAGCATTGCACCCATGATCAGCACATCGCCGATGCAATACAAGGCTCCTGCAGACTCTCAGTTACATAATGACTGCATCAACAAACTACCTAGAGCTCTCATCAGTGCCCCAGTAGTTCACTGGGAACTACAAGCCGACAGCCAAAAAGGCTGTTGATACTTGAAGTTCTCCCATTTACAGAACACGTGAGTAAATGCTGCGGGCAGGTGGGCGGGGTCCCGCAGGGCCGCGTATTTGTAAAAATATGACAGCAGGTGTGGATCCTGCTCACTGTCACAATGGGAGATTGGATGGGGGGACTGCTGCAACAGAAGCATGTTACATGTTATACCCTGAATACAGGTGTAACATGTAACGTGTTGTAAAAGGTGAACTTATCCTTTAAGGAGCCCATGGATTATGCAATTTTCTTTCCTTCCATGACAGGTGGAAGGAAAGAAAATAGCTTGATTCCCCCATCAACACAGTCAGTATTGACGGGGAATCCCTCAGATCCTAGAGCTATTGTATTTTGCCAGCTGGGAGCCTTCCCCACCAACAGAACACAAAGACCACTGCTGGTGGCTATAGCTGCCTGCAGCAATCACATGAGAAAAAAAATCTGACAGGCTGGTTGTACTAAAATCAATCAATTGACTTCAGTGCAACCAGCCTGCCCATAGATGGATCGAAACTTGGCTGGTCCCTGCTGAACCGGCTGAGATTCGATCCATCTATGGCTGGCTTTAGAAAAGCACATGAATTTTAATCAAAAAGCATAATCTGTTTAATGCAATTTTAATGTGTTGCATTAAAATATAATGCAAGCAAAGCTTGGGTTACATGTATTTTACGTGCATTTTCTGCCTTTGAAATTTGACACGTGATTTAAAAGGTGCACTAATGCATATTGAATTTTTAGTGCGTTTTTCATGTGTTGCCTTTGACTATATTGTAAAGTGCATTTGTACCAAAAAATGCACAAAAGATGCAGAAAGCTGAAGTTTTCAAAAACGTAGAGTAGTTTCCTCTAACACTGATATAAACAGCTTCATACGGTAGATTACAATGGTAACTAGAATTATCATGCGCTTTGATCCAGCATTGTAGAGTATATGAAAAACACCAGTGTGAATAGGTCCTTAGGTAGCAAATGGAATTCAGAAACAAATTTCAGCATACTACCTATGTACTGTTCCCGGAGTGGAGGAAGTCCTGTGGACATAGCGAGAGCCAATCATAGGACTGCTTCTAACACTTAAAAAAAATGTTTTTCACGCTGACAAGCTGTGGCTATTTTTAACTAGCATTTCTTGGCAGGCAACAAAAGGTACAGAAGCCCTGACGAAGAAGGCATCCTAAGACCTCTAAACATGTTCAACATTGCTGGATTTTTTGAGCTAATAAATAGACAAAAGTCAAAATATTCTGATTCTAAATTATTTATTTGTAATGGTTCTATACCAGACATCACTGAATAGTGACTCCAGTCTGGCCGTGAGATGTATGATAGTTTTATTATGACCGTGATACATTGTTTATAAGTGAATTCCATTCACAGTGGTGTATCTAGGATATGGCAGCTATGGAATATGCTTTGTGCGCCACTTGAAGGGGGGGTGCCAGAGCCATACCACTCAGCAGCCTTGGTGTCTCTCTCTCCACTTCTTCCCCCGAGCCCAATCCCCTTGTAGTCTCCAGCGCAGCCAGATTATTTTCCCGGGTCTTCACTATTGTCATTAGAGATGAGCGAATCGAACTAGGCGAAGTGGAATTCGTTTCGAATATTAGGAAAATTTCGATTCGCGCCGAATCCGAAAATTAGCAGACTTCGGATGCGCGAATTGAAATTTTTCCTAAAATGGCGGCGACATGTGCGGCGACGGAGCGGGGATCTCTGGGAAGGCGCGCAGACAAGGCGCGCTGACCCATAATGCATTCATTCATGACATGTGATCGGATTAGCCAATCAGCAGCCAGCCAGCCAGCACTGTGTAATGGTCGAGCTATAAATTGCGACCATTTTAGAATTCTCCATTAGCCTCCAGTCATTCAAGAGAGGGACAGACACAGTCATTCAAGAGAGGCAGACCTGTCTGTGTAACAGAATCGTTACTTAGGGACACAGAACCGTTACTTAGGGACACAGATCCGTTACTTAGGGACACAGAACCGTTACTTAGGGCCACAGAATCGTTACTTAGGGACACAGAACCGTTACTTAGGGCCACAGAACCGTTACTTAGGGACACAGAACCATTACTTAGGGCCACAGAATCGTTACTTAGGGACACAGAATAGTTAATTAGGGACACAGAACCGTTACTTAGGGCCACAGAATCGTTACTTAGGGACACAGAACCGTTACTTAGGGACACAGAACCGTTACTTAGGGACACAGAACCGTTACTTAGGGACACAGAATTGTTACTGAGGGACACAGAATTGTTACTCAGGGACACAGAATTGTTACTCAGGGACAGACACAGAATTGTTACTGAGGGACACAGAATTGTTACTGAGGGACACAGAATTGTTACTGAGGGACACAGAATTGTTACTAAGGGACACAGAATTGTTACTCAGGGACACAGAATTGTTACTCAGGGACAGACACATAATTGTTACTGAGGGACACAGAATTGTTACTGAGGGACACAGAATTGTTACTGAGGGACACAGAATTGTTATTCAGGGACAGACACAGAATTGTTACTGAGGGACACAGAATTGTTACTGAGGGACACAGAATTCTTACTCAGGGACACAGAATTGTTACTCAGGGACAGACACAGAATTGTTACTCAGGGACAGACACAGAATTGTTACTGACGGACACAGAATTGTTACTGAGGGACACAGAATTGTTACTGAGGGACACAGAATTGTTACTCAGGGACACAGAATTGTTACTGAGGAACACAGAATTGTTACTGAGGGACACAGAATTGTTACTGAGGGACACAGAATTGTTACTCAGGGACACAGAATTGTTACTCAGGGACAGACACAGAATTGCTACTGAGGGACACAGAATTGTTACTGAGGGACACAGAATTGTTACTGAGGGACACAGAATTGTTACTCAGGGACACAGAATCGTTGAATTAAAGAGTGGGTCAGACAACACGCAGAGGAGTGGCAGAGGAGGCAATGTTTTAGGAGCGAGCAGACGTGGCAGCAGAGGAAGGGGTCGAGGCAGCACTAGTCGCAGCCAGAGGCCAGTGCTCCCGGTGTCATCCAGCGGTCGTGTCTCCACCGACAACCCTGCCGTCATCGATTGGTTGGCTCGGTCGTCTTCCTCTTCCCAGGTCACCTCTGACACCTACAGCCAACGGTCGGTGTGTACGTCAGACACAACCGTTAGTTGGCATGGCCCGGGAGCAAGCCCACTGAAATCACGTGTCCTCTACCTGCCCCTGTCCTTTGGTGTTCCCTCACCAAGCGAAGTATCGCATGCTGTGGGCTCAGCCCCACTGTACAGTGAGGAAGAGCTAACAGAGGGCGGTCAGGAATGGGGGGAGACATCCGCCTCTTCAGCAGCCAGGCGAAGAAGTACTGGCGAGGAGAGTGGCTCGGTAGCCGGTCTAGAGACAGGTCTGTCTCCTGACCCACACGCAGCCGAGGGGGCTAGTAGTGAGGCGGAGACCCTAATTGATGATGAGGAGGCTGATCGCACTTGGCAGCCTTGTCGTCATCAGGCAATTTCTTCCGCATCATCAGGAGAGAAGAGGGTGCCAGCTTGGCAGCGAGCAAAACAGTCGGTGGGTTGCCCAGGAGGCAGCAGGGTCGCAGCAGTGTCAGTGGAGACAAACGGCCACGGAGTAGAGCACCAGCTCCACTGCAGCCTACCACCACGGCCAGTAGTGGTGCCGGTGTGCACGGAGGAAGTAGCAGTCAGCCAGTGAGGAGTAGCGGGGCAAAGTTTCCTACTCGGCGGTGTGGCAATTTTTCCTCAAGCCGCCCGAGGAAGTAAACGTAGCCGTATGTCGACTATGTGGCCAGAAGTCAAGCGTGGCCAGGGGGCCCATGTTAGGACTACAGCGTTGCGTCAGCATATGCAGCGTCGCCATTTGGTGGCCTGGGAAAACCGTGATAAAGATACGGCGGTTCTGCCTGCCCCAGCCCCCGCTCCATCACCCGCTCCTTTACTTGCTCCGTCACCCGACGTCAATCGCCCTCTGTCAGCCAGTCAAGGCTCCAACACCCTGCTGAGGGGAGTTGTCACTCGTTGGCATCTTCCGCTCGTTCAGATGCTCCTTCTCCTGCTACTCCTCTTCACGGATTCCGTCAGCAGTCTTTCTTGGAATCCGTTTCCAAGAGACAACAGTTTGCGAGCACGCACCCGACGGTGCAAAAGCTGAACGTACTCCTGTCCAAGTTGCTGGTGCTGCAGTCCCTCCCTTTCCAAGTGGTGGACTCAGCACCTTTCCGAGAAATGATGGCTTGTTGTGCCGCGCCACGGTGGAGAGTGCCAAGCCGGCATTTCTTCGCCAAAAAGGCAGTGCCAGCCCTGCATTCACATGTAGAAGAGATGGTGGGCCAGTCTTTGAGCATGTCGGTCTCTGCCAAAGTGAACGGCAGCGCCGACGTGTGGAGCTGTAACTACGGTCAGGGACAGTACATGTCATTTACGGCCCACTGGGTGAACGTGGTGCCGGCACAGCCGCACCAGCAACTTGGACAGGTCACGCCGCTTTTGCCTCCACGTTTGCACGTCCTTGGTCCAGCAAAGATGTCCGCCTCTACCACCTCTTCTTCCGCCGTGTCCTCAGCCGCCACCCCCGTGCCAAGTCCCATTACCCGACCGGCATATCACATGTGCAGGGCGCAACGGTGTCACGCTGTGCTGCACCTGGTATGCCTTGGCGAACGTAGTCACACAGGGG